CCTCAAGGGCCACGCCAAAAGGTAATTGAGACCAACCCTAAGCTCCTTGTTTCTCCGCTCTAAAGGTAGCCCCGATTATTGCTGACTTAAGTATCAGAGTGTTTACCCCGAGGATCCACCTCGGGGCTTTGCAGGTCAATCCAGGGTGCAGATACGGACTGAAGAAGGACTTCTGGTTTGGTGCAGTTACATTTTGGCGCCGTCTGTGGGAACCTGTACTAAAGGCTCCCTTGTTGCTCTTATCATGGTTAAAACTAGGTCAGCCCGAGGTGGAAACTTGTCTCAGCCTCTTGGACGAGGTCAGGTCCCCAGCAACCTTCCGCCTCATCCCCCACCCCCAATCCCAAATACATTCCCTCCTGTTGATCATGCAGAAGGAGAAGACGAAAATCAACCACACAATTCGGTTCACAACTCAACCTCTACTGCTAACCAAGGCGTAGTTGCAACTTAGCTCATTGCCATGCAACAGCAGTTTGGTGTCTTTCAGTTAGTACTAGCACAGCTATTAGCCTGGAATAATCTTGGTGATCCACTCATCAACCTACTTAATCCTGCTCCACAACCTCCAGCCCCACCACAAAATCCTGAACCAGTTCAACATGCTCCCGCTGTTAGTGAATCTCAGGGCCAATCTCATGTCGCACCAGCTCAGCAACCCCCTCATGATGATGTCACTCGACGTCTAGATAGCTTAGAAAAGCTAGTGGTTGAACAGCGAGGTATCCCACCTCCACACCCTGCGGCTGACTCCGTACCCCACCCTCTCAACACCAATATTATACTGGAATCCTATCCCGCTGGCTTCAGAATACCACAGCTTGAAACTTATGATGGGACGAAGGACCCCGATGATCATCTACATGCTTTCTACTCTTGCATGCAGGCCCAGAACACCTCTGATGCGTTGATGTGCAAAATCTTTCCCTCTACCCTTCGAGGTAATGCTCGAACCTGGTACTACAGTCTGCCTCCGAGGTCAATCAACTCTTACACAGAAATGGCATCTGCTTTTGCCACAAAGTTTTCCAGTAGAAGGTTAATCAGGAAAACCACTTCTGAGCTGATGCGAGTTAAGCAGAGGGACGGAGAGTCTTTGAAGAATTTTATGAGCAGATTCAATGATGCAGTGCTGGAGGTTAACTATTTCGATCAAGCTGTGGGAATTACAGCTGTGATCTCAGGTCTTAGCCATGAGAGATTCAGAGATAGTCTGCTCAAACATCCTACCAACACCTTCAGCGAGGTAAATGATAGATCGTTGAAATTCATAACTGCTAAGGAATATGCTCTGTCGCAGAACCTAACTCCTATTAAGAACCAACACCCGGACTGGAGAGATGAGAATCCGAACAGGAAACGGATAAAGACAACACAGAACCGAGGTCCGATGTCGGCTTCCACCCTGAGATTCGGAAGGCCGAACTCAGTACCTCCGCAACAACCTGCAGGTAAACCTCCAGTTAATTGGACTCCTTTTAATCTACCGAGGTCACAAATCTTTATGCAGATTAAGAATAAGATGGACTTAAGATGTCCGGGTCCAATGAGAACTGCTGCTGCTACCAGAGACCATGCTAGGTACTGTGATTTTCATCAAGATCACGATCATACAACAGAGCAATGCAATAGTCTGAGGTCCGAGCTGGAAAGTCTGGCGCAGAAAGGAATGTTGAATGAGTACATCCAGAGAGTGGAACAGCCAAGGTTTGTCAGAGAACAAGGGCCACAACATCAAGGAGTCCGCAATTCGCCAAACAGGCAAGGTGTGGGATATCAGCAAGCCCCACCACCACTCCCACCACCAGCTAGAGTCATACACATGATTACGGGAGGTCTGGAAGCAGGGGGACTGAGCTCTAAGCAGCGAAAGTTGTATGTCAGAGAGGTTAAGCACCAGAACCGAGCTTAGAAGCGAAAATTTGACGATGCTGAGTGGAAGAATCAACCCATCACTTTCACATCTGCTGATCTCGAAACAGTTGTCACACCTCATAATGATCCTCTAGTCACTTCCGTCACGATCAACAATTGTGAGGTGCAGCGTGTCCTTGTTGACACAGGGAGTGCACTAGACATCATGTACTTCCATTGTTTTGAGAGTCTTGGGTTAGATCCAGCTCTGTTGTAGCGGTATGATGGTCCCATCTACGGGTTCAACAACCAACCAGTTCCAGTTGAAGGAGTCCTCACCATGAATGTTGCATTTGGAAGTGGCCGAAGTTATGTGACCCCTTCCGTGAGGTTTTTAGTAGTAAAGATGGCGTCCTCTTTCAACACTGTCATTGGCCGACCTACACTGACTGAAATCCGAGCTGTGGTTTCCCAGTCTCACCTATGCATGAAATTCCCAACTCCTACGGGAATAGCAACGCTCCGAGGCAACCAGGAGGTGGCCCGACATTGCTATATCATCTCGGTAACACAACCCCAGAAGGGCAAGGCTCAGACACCCGAGATTAATCCCAAACAGGTTCCTGATGATCGGCAAGTTATGGGTGTTGAGATAATAGATAACCGACCAGAAGATGAAACCAGAGCTGCTCCAGTCGAAGATGTGGAGGAGGTACAGATTGATGACAGAGATCCGAGCCGGAAAACGCAAATTGGGACTAAATTGAACCCGGAGGAAAGAGCAGAGCTAATAGCTTTTCTTCGGGCCAATAGAGATGTTTTTGCATGGACTTCAGCAGATATGCCGGGAATTCCCACTTCAGTTTTTCAACATAAACTCAGCACCAATCCCCTCAAGAAACCAGTAGCCCAGAAGCAACGCCTCTTCGAGGGGGAGAGGTTAAAGGTTATTAAAGAAGAAGTCGAGAAGCTCCTACAAGCCGGCTTTATCAGAAGGGTAGATTACTGTGAGTGGGTCACCAATTCGGTGCTGGTGAAAAAAGCAAACGGTAAATGGCGGATGTGCATTGATTACACTAACCTCAACGATGCATGTCCAAAGGACTGTTATCCAATGCCAAACATTGATAAGCTGGTTGAGGCAGCTTCGGGAAATGAGAGGTTAAGTCTCTTGGATGCATACTCAGGCTACCACCAGGTCCCAATGGCTCCTGAGGATGAAGAAAAAACCTCGTTCTACGCTGGCGATGAGATCTATTGCTATGTAATGATGCCCTTCGACGTGAAGAATGCAGGTGCCACTTACCAGAAGATGGTTACCATCGTATTCCAAGCTCAGATAGGACGGAATCTGGAAGTTTATGTTGATGATATAGTGGTAAAGAGTTTGAAAGCTGACGATTACTTAACCGACCTTGAGGAGACATTCAACAATCTCAGACAGAATAGAATTAGTTAAACCCAGCCAAATGCATCTTTGGCGTGGAGTCTGGAAAATTCCTGGGTTTCATGGTTTCCCGGAGAGGGATTGAGGTCAATCCAGAAAAGATCAGAGCAATTGCCGAGATGGAACTGCCAAAGTCAGTGAAGGATATACAGAGGTTGACTGGAAGGGTAGCAGCTCTTCATCGGTTCATATCGAAGTCAGCAGATAAGTGCCTACCGTTTTTCAAGATTATGAGGT